CGAATTTGGAGACCAACCTGACCAACATGGCAAAACCCTGTCTCTACTTAAAAAAAAAGAAAAACAAATAAAAAATAACAGTGTGTGGTGGTGCATGCCTGTAATTCCAGCTACTTTGAAGCCTGAGGCAAGAAAATGGCTTGAACCTGGGAGGCTGAGGTTTCAGTGAGCCGAGATTGCGCCACTGCACTCCAGCCTGAGAGACACAAGATTTAAGTCAAACAAGATAAAACAATAATTGAGAGAGATTTAAGTATAGACTCCACAAAATTACTCCCATTGCAATGAGCTAGTTTCATTTAGAAAGGCAAATTTAACATCACATGTTATATTCTATGAACCTGTTAATTTACTTTCAAATATTTACGAGAGACAAATTTATCCAAACACGTTGCATGTGTCTGTAATTAGGGGTGGCGTAACAAGAGACTTTCCTAGTCTGGTAAGAAAAGGAATATTGAAAACAGGCAAAAGACCAGAAGTTTAGAGATTGTGCAAGATAGTTACTTGTTTGCTTTTTCCTGATGATCATTAGTGTCATTTCTGAAAATGCAGCCACTACTTGAAAAGAAATTCGAATGGCCACACAATCATTGAACTATAAGCATTCTTGACAAGTCATTCAATACAACACCTTTTCTCTAGGTATAATTGTTATAGCTAAACCGTTACAAATAGATAAATGCTTGTGACATGACTCAATGTCTCCACAAAATGGTACCAAATTATCTGCATCTTAAAAAGAGGGCAAATTTTTAATGTTTTTCAAACCAATGCATCCTGAGTTTATGTAACTCAAATGTAGTGGAAGCCCTCCCACCCGCTCTGGTTTCACCCATGTACATTCTGAAGATAGACTAAGAAGCTTTCATTGTCCCTCAATTAATTGCACTCACAATTCATTAATAGCATTTTCATATCATCTCTGAATTTGTCAGCTTCCTATTCAATATCCACCCCCAATCCCTTCTTTCTAAGCTTATGAAAGACACAGTTTTAATTGGGGAACAATCCCATGTCCTCTTGGCATACAGCACTACCTATATGGGTTGCTCGCTGGAACTGCCTGGAACTATCTGAGGGGTTTTCCCTAACCCTGGCAGCATGTCAGTTTCCACAGTGCAGGGCAAGCTGAAGCTTCCACAGGAAAACACTCCCCAGATTCAGCTGTTAATCACTGGTGCATAAAGACTCCAGTTTCTTTGCCATTTTGTTAGGATAACTTTGATAGATGTTTTCCTGTCTCCCATAGATCCCCAGTGGGATTGAGTTTTAGTTGCCCACAGTGACAAATTGTTTGATAACTTCCCTTCATTGACATCTTCCTCTTCTTTGTTTCTTTCTCAGTCCCCTACCACCATTTCTAGAAATCAGCTCAGAAATAAACTACATGTATTTAAATCCTTTTCTGAGAATTTGTTGCCTGTTTGCCCAGCCTTCTTTTTAATCAGGAATGGTCTGGTAATCTTATTTCTGGTTAATGAAGCACAAGCAAAAGTATAATGGATAAAAAGGGAGGAAAGCAGTGGGAAAGCGTCTGTTCCACTTACTTCCCCCCATTCTCCGCCCCGATCAAGCACTTACTGCTTTAAATACAGAGACACCAGGAGCAGCAGCAATGAAATCAAGCGTGATCATGAAACATACTCAGAATGGTCAAGGGAACACGGGGACTAACGTGGGACTTGGAGTAACTGACTGAGATCAGTAGAAGTTTTTGTTTTGTGAGAACAAGTAATGTAAAACACTTACTTAAGACCAAATATATGTAATTTTGCTGTTGTATGCACTATTAAGGTACACATATAATTATGGGAAGCTTTATAGTAAAAGAAAGAATGTTTGCGTTGTGCAATAAACAGAAAAACTTCATAGGAATTTTTATTTACTAATTTATTTAAACTTGATGTGTAATTGTCCTTGACAGTTTCACAAACTTTTCTTCCTTCACATTAGATTTAAAAATATATTCTATTATGGTGGAGAATTCAATTTCTACATTCAAATTGTGTATTTGACACAAAAACAAGACTCCAGTATTTAGTCCCTAACAAATTTTTGATTTTTTTTAAAAAAATTCTTTTAATTTTTGATTTTTTAAAATCATACTCCTAATACCATCTCTTGATTATAGATTTCCATGTAAGCTCACAGTTCTAGAAAAGTCAACCAAATAATTTCTCCATCAAAATTCGCAAATTTGAAGACAAAATGGTCATAGCCAAGTTGTTCTCCTCGGTTTAAAGCTAAAAGCCTTACTTTGAACAAAGGAATGAGTTAATACAGGAAGGAAGCTGTGCCTGAAAATATGAAACATGAACATTAAAAAATTGGGTCAGAAGAGTATATCTAGCAATGTCTCAGAGATACAAAGGTTCAAGATGTAAGAAACCTAGCCAGTGCAAATTATCATAGGTGCTAATTTTGGCAGAGGAGTGGACAGAAAGAAGGAAAGGGTCAGGAAAGGAGATATGACTGTAGGGTCAGTCAGAGTAACGCCACGTGAGAAAAATTTAGCTTTCCATTGCTCACTTTAAAGATGGAAGTAGAGGATAGAAGGAAGTGAACTTAGAAAGCCTCTAGAGCTGCAAAAAGCAACAGTAAAAATAGAATCCTACCCTGGAGCCGCCAGAAGTAATTCAGTCCTGCTGACACTTTTATTTTAGGCCAATGAAACCCATTTCTGATTTCTACCCTCTGTAACTATGATATCTATGAAGTTGCTTATTTTGGGTGAATTTGTTATAGAAGCAACAGAAAATGAATGCAGCATTTTTCCCTGATATACTATTTATTATCTTGACAAGGATCCCAAGAGATGGTGGTAACATGGTACTAGACAAGCATGAATAAAATAACAAACTACATTAAGTAAAATGTTTATGCCAGAATTGCTGTATTTAGAGCAGCTAGAAATATGAGGCCCCAGTCTTGAAAAAGGAAAATGAGCAGCATGCCCAGGTACCTAAGAGAATCTGAGAATCAACTTTATGTGCCTCTCAGATGTAGTTACTTCAGGTAGTTTGTTTCCCCCATCTGGAAAAAAATCTCCAGGAATATTTTTTGGGAGGATTAGCTGCTGATTTCTCGCTGTTAATTTCTGTTCCAGGAATTAACCTTAGCAGAAGAGTACTGCATTTACTGAAATTGCCATCATACCCAGGGTCAGCCCAAAATCATGATGAGTTGGTGAGGGGATAGATTCCCAGATCCTTAACCTCAATCTGGGTCATTATGAAGTATCATCTCAGCTCCAGATCTCCCTGTAGGGACCAGTTGAGAGGTCTGCTGAAATCACATCATATTTAAATTTTCTCCTCTGCCCAACGTTGCTACTCTTTCTCCTCCATGTGTAGTCCATCTAGAACACTCCCCAATAAATTTCTTTCATGCAACTCTTCACCTCGGAGTTTGTTTCCCAGAGGACTCGTCTAAACCAATAATTTTCTAAGGAAGGAGAATGAATTTTTTCCCCCTTATTGAAACAAGCAACTTAATTGATGAGCAAAAGAACAGATTATCAATTGCAACACGTACTCAGATTACCAGAGAGAGAAGAGTAGCATTAGCTTTCAGAGTATAGAACCTTTTATAGTGACATAAAGAAAGCTGACTTGCCATGAGGAATTGCAGAAGAATTTTTGGTCCACCTCTACTGTATGACCTGATGCAGGTGTGATGTCTTATCCTAGCAGTGAAATAAATAATGGGTCTGATTTAATATGCAGCTGGCACAAACAGGGGATGGTACAGATAAGAATGCAATTAATTCGGCATTCTAGAAATACTGATACAGTCTGGGCCCTCAGAGAGGAGGCAATAACTTCATTAATTTATTCACTTATTGATTAATAATTCAATAAGTCTTTGTCAAGAACTTTCTAGATGTTTGGGACTGTGCTAGACATGCTCCCAGCATAAGTGGGAAGAAAAGATGTCCCTGGTCTTCTCAGCGGGGGTATAGACTTGTAAAGTGGTACTTTTAATATTGGGTGACACAGAAATATAACATCTCTAGGCAAGGGTAGAGGTGGAATAATACAAGCAAAGGAAACAGCAAATGCAAAAGCCCAAACTTCAAAAAGAGGATAACACAGTATGCTCAGTGACCAAAAAGTATTTCAGCATGTCTTGGAGGAAGGAATTGGTAGGGGAGGGAAGATGAAAGAAGGGGTAAGCAGGAGCCACATTGTGAAAAATCTTGTACGTAGGTAGTGTTAAGAGTTTAGACGTTATTCTGAAGGCTATAGGGAGAATTGACAGATTTTAAATAGGAAGTGATATGATCAGATTTGCCTTTTAGAAATATCAATGTGAAACTCTTACAGAGCTTGTCCCAGAAGGCACAGTCTGTGGCAGTCCCTGTTGCTGGCAAACTTGATAGCATCAAGGCTGCCTAAACCTTGATCTTACAAAACCCTGTAAACATTTAATATCATAGTTCTGACTCTTTTTATTTATAGGGTGCGAATACGTAAATAACATTTTTTAAAAAAAGAAAAAAACCTCCCTAATCAATAAAATACATAGAACACCATGGAACTGATGGGGACGTCGTCACTATAGCTTGTAAAATATACCAATGTTATAGTTTGTGACATAATTCTATTTGGCCACTTAGATCATGCAACGATTCTTTGACTAGCTTTTCAACAAGCAGCTCTGCTCAGGAAACAGGCTATAAATTACTGAGCAATGAATCTTATCCTCATTTCCATCAGTATTTTCAAATATTTTTGTTCAACAATTTCAAAGACAGATAACCTTGGTTAATATTGTTAGTACAATACAGTAAGTTTCTGAAAATGTTCTAGGAAATGTCATCTCTTTAGGTACCAAAGGTGAAAGCTATATATATTTTTCTAGAGCTTCCTTTCCACAGCTTTAGTAAAAATCTTAGAATCCTATATATACTGGAGAAAACGTGTTGTTAATCCTGAGAAAGTGTTCATTTAACCCTAGGCAGCAGGAAATCTTATAACTCATCAGAAATGTCTTACCTACTGCTGAATGTCACAGGACACAATTCAGGCTTATCTTGTGGAGATCCTGTGGTAATAGTCTTATCCCAAACATTCGGTTTTCAGATCTCTGATCGCCTTGAATCTCACTCTCCTGATTGGCTGCTTTTAATACGAAATCTTTTCAGCCTCCATCTGTCCTGATAATGCCAAGCAAGAAGATGAAGCCTGGACAAGCAAAAGATATGAGGAAATGATTGCTCTATAAATCTAAAATATAAATCTAATAATGAAGGCTTCCCAAAAGCAGAGCCCTATCAAATATCATTTGATCAAAATATTATTATTGAGCTAGAGAAATTCAACTTGATTTTAAAAACCCTGAGAAAAAAAGATTTTTTAAAATCTTTTATGGTATGAATAAAACAATGTCTATTTATTTATCTATATAGTAAACAATAGTTACACAATACATACATATTTATTAGGCACTCATAAAATGTGGGCTGACAGTATCATTAACACAAAATGATATAACAAAATAATCTGCACTGGGAAAATACAGGTATTTTCTACGTTCATCAGATTTTGAGCCATTTAATTTAAATTAATGTCGAAGAGCCATATACATAATTTCTCTATTTTTGAAACAAAAATATTATCAAAAAAGAATATAAATAAACTGTGGGGGTCCGGCACGTCTGCCGGGGGGCTTCCGACCAGCAGAGAGCCTCAGCCCCACTCAAGTGTTCTTAACCTGGAAGAGGGAGTGCGCGGAAGAAAAGATAGATAGAGAGCGGGGTCTGGAGGACTGCCAGGCAATGCCGGAGCAAGAAGTGCCAAGACAGCAAGTTTATTTGTGCAAACTACAGGTTATATACCTTTCAGTGTTTGAGGAGTGACGTACATTCCATTGTATCTTGAAATAAAATCAAGAACAAAAATCACAAGAAAAGAGGTACAGAAAGTATGACTCTTAATCAAAGGGTGTACAGCAAGGGAACAATAAAGTTTACAAAAAGGGGATCATAAATCTAAACATGTGTTTTTCTAAAATCAGGTAAGCAAGCAAGTAAGATTGTTAACAAGGTATAGCTGGACCTTTCTAAATGTCATTCTAACCTTGCCTATTCATATATAGGATCATATGCAAACAATATGATTGAGTTAGCAGAGGTAAATGAAGTCATACAGTTATTGTGCAGAGAAGGAACTAGGAGGCACACAATGTCTACCCATACGATGTCTCATTAGACCATAAGGCTTGAGCTCAGCCATTCTGTTGCAAATGTCAGAGGCAAAGATTGATGTTTATAAAATCAGTGCAACTAGACTTCCTCCTTTCCCTTAGCTCAACAGCCTCCAGGAGAGGAGAAACGTGTATGGGCTCAAGCTCAAGATGGCGAGGGTCCTGTCAAGGGCCCTTCGCAGGAGTGATCCCCACAATAAACATTGTATACCATAAGTTTATTATTTCTGTTTAAATAATTACTAAATAATTGAACTAACTAAAAAATTCAAATATTTTATAATATCACCCTGATATTGCATTGGTTTTATATCATTATTTTCTATCCCATTAGAAATGCATTAGGGTTTTTATTGAAGGCCCTTTCTTCATTTATTGTACACACTCCTGTGGAGGAATATCATTCATTTTGGCTTTGCCGTTAACTCAGTGTTATCTATGGTGTTATTCTGTATATCACACATTAAAAATCTCTACCTCTGACCTAATTGGTTGTCTTGCACTTTCCACTGACTTATTTGACTATTGCCCATATATGTGCGTTTTGATATTACCCAGGCATCTCAAAATGAATATTCAAAACTTAAATAATATTTCTTCCTAAATCTGCCCGTACATCTGTACCCTTCCTTTACTAAGGAAACAACCTCTGATATATCTGATATATGTTGATACAGGTAATTTTTTAAATGTCTATTTTTGTTACTAAATAATGTGCCTAACAAACATTATTCATCTTGCATTCAATCCTTAAAATCATAACTAGATTTTAGATACTTTCATTACTGCTTACTATGTTATTTGAATTTTTACTAGGCTGTATTATTATATATGTGATATTTAAAGCACATTAGAATAGCCGGGCATGGTGGCACATGCCTATAATCTCAGATACTTGGGAATCTGAGGCAGGAGAATCGCTTGCCCCTGGGAGGCAGAGGTTGTGGTGAGCTGAGATTATGCCATTGCACCTCAGCCTGGGCAACAAGAGCAACATTCCATCTCAAAAAAAAAAAAAAAAAAAAAAAAAAACTATTAGAAAAATGTACCATGCACAGCTCTGATATCTCTAACTTAACTGTTATTAATGTACTTCAACATTTGCTGTGCCCTCTGGAATTAAGATGAAATAATCACATGGGTACCCATATATTGTCCCTTATATTTTTTCCTAGTGAAACTAATTCAAGACATATGTAAAGTACTGGCAAATTAACAAATACTTAGCGAGCTATTGGTCTATTCTGGAAAAGGAAAAATGGGATGCAGAACAAAGCTAACAGTGCAAACAACTTACTAACAAATTAATGAATCACATTTACAGCGAATATGTAGCAAGCCCTGATTTAAGCCCATTTTATATATATAAAACTCTCAAATAACTTAGTTGCTAAATGTACTGATGATTCCTATTTCACAGATATGAAAAAGGAAATAAATATGGGAAAGATAAACTAATTAAAGTAATTAAAAATGAAGTAAGGGAGAAACCAAAATTGGACCTTAGTTCAACTACAGGGCCAAGATTATGAAACAGTGAACTGGATTCTTCCCTAAGTGTAATTTTTTTTTTCTTGCAGATGGTACGCACTTCTCCTCTCTCATGCCACTGTTAATCATACCTCCAGTTCTTAACTTAGAAATAGTGCTTAGCAATGAGGAAGAGGAATATCTAATAGGGAATAAATGTCTCTTCTTGAGTTAGACAGGGGATATGTGGATTAGATTACTCGGCAATTTTTTATAGATTTGATCATTAAATAATTATTTTCAGCTCATGTCAAAATGCCTCATGCTTCTAAACTAGAAATGTTGGGTATAATCTCAGATTCCATGCCCTCCTCTTTCCTCTCTCTTAATAAATAACCTAACCTTTTTTATTGTACCTCCCAAATTGTCCTATAATCTATTCTGTTCTCCCCGCCCTCACACTACCCCATTTTTCTCCCACATGGCCCTTCTTTCTAGTTAGTTCTGTGCTTCTTTCTAAATACTTTTCTAAATGTTCACAGTGCATACTTTCCAAAATGCAAACCAGATCATGCCTACTTTTTTTATAAACACTCGATGACATTTTCATTTCTGAATGAATAATACATATTTGCATAATCTTGTCTCTGCTTAGCTGTCCAGATTCATTGTTTCCCACTTTCTAGTTCACACTTCATAACCCAACTATGTCAAACTCCACAGGTTGTTCAGTGTACCTTGCATGCTTTTGCCTATGGGCTTTTGGTTATTTATTTATATTGAAATAATTTTAGACTTACAGAATAGTTGTCAAAGTAGTATAGATTTCCTTTACATAGTTCACTCAGCTTCCCATAATGCTAACAACTTACATAATCATTACACAATCACTAAAGCTGTGAAGTTAACACTGGTGCAACACTATTCTTTATGTTTTACATTATTATGAATTCACAGATGTGTATTTCATTCTATGGAGTATAATCAGTACTGATTTATTATGTGTTGCTCAAATTCTTGAGCAGTTACTGAGTTTTGACCATTGGCAACTTACAAATTGACTCCTTTGTCCTTTCTACATAAACTATTCTATTTTTAATTCTTTCCTTTCTGACACTCATAAAATGTGGTAGGCTTACGTATACTTCTTCTGCCCAAGAATCAATCACTTCTCCAGTTTGACCTTGTTTATTTCATTGAGGATGGCAGTTGGAAACTAAGATCTGAGTGCTAGGTATGCTCTTTGTTACAATAATATTGCTTCTAGTCTCTCTCATTAGACAGACATATAAAATATATGTGTTAAACCTACTATCCATATAAAGTAGTTTCAAAAATGCTAACCCATACCCTGTGAGTGAAAAGCTTATAAACTGGATTATAATGTCTATGTACAACTTTTTGTCTTTAGCCATAAAATATCCAGTCAAATTACTATTTTCTAAAGATAGGCTAGTTATTTTCTTTCCTATTTCCTTCACTGTTTTTCAGGTAACACAATTAGGCTCATCTGTTAAAGTTTGTATTCAATTTAAGATATTCCCACATCTTGTTTTCATTTTTATTGACATACAGTAAAATGTACGCTTTGTGGTGCAAAGTTCCATTGATTTCAATAAATACATAGAGTTGTGTATCTAAAAACACTGTTGTGAGTAAAAACATCTCCATCACTCCCAAAATTGTCCCGAATCACTCATTTTCAGTCAACTTCTCCCACATCATCCCTAATGTTTACAAAGCACCGGTCTACCTTTCATCTTTATAATTTTATATTTTCCAGAATATCCCACTAATATAATCATACAATATATAATGCTGTGGTTCTGGCCAAAGCCTTCAAAACACACTTAAGATTCATCAATATTGTTATATGAGATAATAGCATTTTCCATCTTACTGCAGAGTAATATTAATTTGGTGAGTGTGCCACAGTTTAACCACTCACCTATTGATGGCATCTGGGTTGTTTACAGTTTGGATGATTATGAATAAATTGGTTAAAACTATTAATGCACAGACTTTTATGTTAACATATATTGTCATTTTTCTTAAATAAATAGGTAGAAATGGTATCTATTTAACTTCCTAGGAAATAGCCTGTTTTCTTAATGGCCATACATTTGGCTTCAGTAAGGTATGAGAACAAAAGCTGCTCCACATCCATCCCAGAACTTGGTAGTATCAAAATGTTTTCATTTTAACCATTGTTTTTTTGGCTACATAGTATTCTATGGTATATATGTGCCACATTTTCCTTGTCCAGTCTATCATTGAGGGGCATTTGGGTTGGTTCCAGATCTTTGCTATCGTAAGCAGCACTGCAAGGAACATACATGTTCATGTGTCTTTGTAACAGAGCGATTTATAATCCTTGGAGTATATACCCAGTAATGGGACTGCTGGGTCAAATGCTAATTCTATTTCTGGATCGTGGAGGAATCGCCACACTGTCTTTCATA